CTGGCCACCTCTCACCTCTTCTGAAGAAAGTTGGCTCAGCCCAGCTAAAGAGAAATAGGTCTTTAGGACATTTATTTAACCAGAAAATTCACTATTGGTCAGTGAGTGAGAGCAAGGGCTTCTGTGTATAGCTGAAAGTAGCTATGATGTTTTTCTTTAGTCCAGAAAATGAACTTCATTTATATAGTCTTCCAAAGAAAGTGGGTCAGACACTTGGAGCAAACCCCACTAATTCTGACCTTGTTTATCAGTGTAAGTGAAAGAGCCTAGAAAAAAGAATGACCTTTGCAGATGCTACACTTTTTTTGTGCATTCCCTGGAGAGCAGCATGTCAGCCCCATTCAGTTGCAAACTGTACCAGAGTTAAATAAATGGAGGGCTTTTTTTCCCCCCCCATGACGTGATGTCTTAAGTGGATGATTTTGACATGGGCTGTGATCTGTATTGAATGTGGTTTGTGCATGTCACCTTGAAGTCTTAGCTGTGAAATGTCCTTGTCTTCTAGTTTTAATGAGTTGAAATTGAGATTCGTGGATCTGCTTACCACCTGACAAGAGAGGTTAACTTAAAAGGATCAGCACTATTTGACTTCATTTACCTCTTACTTAGTATGTCTAGGAAGAAGAATCCATTGTATTGCAGATGAAGAAATAGGGACAGGCTCCTGCTTGTTATTGAAACGTTGAGGTATAGAGCAAATCTCCAAGGATTTAATGGGTACTTACAAGATATGGCAGATATGAAACAAATGAAAAGGAAACGTTGCTTTACTCAACTCATACCCAAACTATGAAACCCTGTCACAGGAAGTCCTGAGAGGAGGTCAAATCTATAAATATGTACGGAGAAAAAAAAAAAGATGTCAGATGGGTCATAGTTAATGCTATTTAAAAAAAAAATCCTGCTTATTAGGATAGCAAACATACATATTCTGTATTTTCCAGAAGTGTAAGTGTAAATAAGGACAAAAAATAGGCTCAGTTAACTGCGTGCTCCCTTTCTGATTTGTAGTCCTAATTAGAGGTGAAGTCCTTTATTTCCTATTTATACTTTTTTCTTAGGTAGCCCTCATTTTAAATGATGATCTGTTCCATCTTTAAGCAGATACGCTTCACTGACAAGAAACACATTGCCCCTATTTATCATATAAAATTCCAGGGAGAGTTCTTGAGTGTGTGCTTGCTGGACATTGTGAACTGGTGGAGTTTTCTGGTCTCCCAAGATGGAAAACATCCTAGACACGTTCCTGGAATATGCAAAACTTGGATTCGACATGTGCTCTCATGCCTGAATGGCTACAGAAATTTCAGGGCAGCAGAAAACCAGTCCTCTCCAATGCTTTTAAACTTCTAGGAGGTGGCTAATAGCATTCCTTTGCTTTTACACTGGGTTATTCATCAAGAAACAGCTGCTTCTCCATGCATCTGTGACATCAGGGTGGGTCAGTTAAGAGACCCATGTCAGTCATGTGCATGTTGAAATCTGTGATGAAAGGTGATAGAAAGACAAAGAATTACTTTACGGTCCTGAATTTTCACAGTGAAGTGTGTAGAAGTGCTGATAACTGCTCTTGAAGTTCCATCCTCTGCTAAGAAAAGCTAATGGCCACCTCCATCCCACAGGCCTGCACTACTTGAAAACAAAAGACAGCATTGTAAGCTTTTCGTAGCATGGTGAGGATGTAGAAACCCTCAAGTATTCCTTACCTAGTGAGCAAATCTGGCTGCTGAACGATCATCTTCTTTCAAACACAGGGACAGGAGATAAAATTGTAGCAGCAATCGCAGAAATGGCTTGGGGTTATCAAAACAATTGCAGCACAAATGAACAAACACTTCAGCCTTGCCAAGCTAAACTAGCCTAAGGATTTTGCTTGGCCAAG